GACTTCCTTCGCAGAGCACAAAGACATCTATGTATCTCTGCCATTGGAGGATTTTAGAAAGTGTCTTTTAACAGTTTCATTGTTGTTAAATTCTCATCACCCTAATAACTATGACACACTAATTGCACTGTTTGTCTACATAACCTGGTTCAAGCATTCATGATATTACCCTGAAGATGACACAGTGATGCCCAAACATTGGTGGTTTACCCAATAAATTACTGGTAGCTTGTATATACAGTGTGCGGCTCTATTTGTTTTTATGTAATTGCGTTTTAGGCTTGTTGTGTTAACGCAACCTAACAAATATCTTAATGAGATCCCTGTGTGTTTGATATTCTTTCATTTGGATCAGCCGAGGGTACTTGTTACGAACCCCGTGGCTTCGAACGTCTAGGGTGATGGACATGAGACCCGTAACATAATTCATGTAAATTATAAGTGAAGCATGGAACAGTGAGAACAAATATGACACAACAACCATGAACTACCGTCAAACACAAATGGTTTATTTCTGAACACACGGTAAAGGTTTGGGAAAAAGGGCTGAGCAGGACCCAAGAAATGAAACAATAGTGTAAAACACCCCTAAACTGATCTTGCCTGCCTCAAGAACCGCTAGGCTACTGCTACCATACAAAAATACAGGGGGTGGTCCGCTCAGGTCTAACTAGTGTTTATAGACAGTTCTTTCTACGGGAAATGTATGCCCAAGGGCAGCTAGCTCAAACTCCCCTTTTCCCAGAAACACACAATAGTTACCAAACAGAGTAACCAGCAAATTAATGAGCTCGCTAAACACAGGACATCACAGTATCCATTACTCACATACAAAACAGTGGTCTAACAGAATTACCAATCATAGTAACCAGCAACTTAGTGAGTAACCAAAAACAGGACACCACCGTGTCCATACTCACATACGGAAATATTCTCTCTCTCTCTCTAACAAACACAATACTGGTTTTTATATAATGGGATGTGTGATTGAACAAACGAGTAACAGGTGGTGCAATGCACAGGAATGTTCACTGATTGGTCCAATCAGCAGACACCTCAACGACCACCAATCAGGAACATACAGGACACCTGTGATTAGGGCAGAAGGAGTAGAAACACACAAAAACACAGGATACCTGTATCCGTAACAGTACTAAACCTCCAGTTCTCCTGTTCTGTCAATGAGACAAGATGTTTTTGGTCTGTTACTTCTCTCATTTAGAAAAAAAAAATCCCCTTGGAGTCACCGTGCACATTTTCTGATTTATAAATGTTGTTTGTCCCTCAACCGATAATCTTCCCAATTTTCTAAGAATCTTGGGGATTGCAGTGGTATGATTCCAACAGATTTTGTTATTGAATTTGTTTATATTTTGCTCCAGGCTCCAGCAAAGTCATTAAAAGCACACCCAAACCGTATGCAAAATTGATGTGTAGGCAAGTCTACTTCTCCTTTTGGGGTTGTTAGGCCTACTTTCTTTTTTGGTTTTGTTTGTTAACAAGCATATACTGTATACTGAATTGACACTCTGAATTGACACACTGTTTATAGTACTTATAGACATTTTACAGCATTCTAAACATTTTCACTCTGACAAAGAAGCAGTTGTGGTCTCAGAGTGAACAGAGAGAACACTAGTCGATGCATCAGTGACATGAACCACAGCAACTTGTTGTTTCAAACTTTCTCACTTGAAAACCCTGAACTCAAACAAAACAAGCATTAGGAATGTTTTTGTTTTGCTCTGCTAATATGGAGCACAAAACCTTTCTTAGCCACAAGACTATATGAAACTGCAACACAACATGTGCATGTTAACCACAAACAGCATTATCAGTTCTCTAATTGTCCCCAAAAGTGACAGACAGGAATCTAAGCCACAGGAAGTAGAGACAGGCTAGTTCTATGTAGTAACAAAGGTGAAACCACTGTGGTAAAAGTAAACATTGCATAAGATGCTTCGCATTTCAATCCCTTTGTAAAAACAGTAATTATGCACTCTCAATTATCTTTTCAATTGGGTTATCCCTTCGACTTTGTATTTATAAGCTAGCAGGTACGGCACAGTGAAGATATTACAACATAATTGCTTGTTTGTGCTGTGTGTATTATTAGTTAAAGCTTTATGTAACCGAAAGTGTTACAACACTGAGCAAATTAATGAAATCTTCCCTTTTGGGAAATATTGTCAGTCAGTGCATTGAGCTACTCCTGCCCTTTTCAGTTGTCGGGGTCAATATCATAGACAATGTCTCTATGGTCAACATTTATATAAAACAAAACTGGTGGAAATAACAACACCTCAATATAGCCCATGGAAATGTTATACAAAATTCTCAGGAGGGCTATTTTCAAACCATCTCTTCACATCCTTGTTTGAATAGATGGAGGGAAGGGATCTCCCATTCATGAAAGGCTATGGGAAGCTGTATTGATGTTTGTTGACCTCCTCCGTCACCCTCACTCACCCTGTCCACTCTCTGGGTGTGCATTGTTTACTGCTGTCTGTCATCATTAAGGGTTGTAAAAGGGTACAGCCTGGTACTATAGTGTCTCTCTGCTCATTAGTCATTTCTGTGGACCGCCATGTTCTTACGGTTATGTAAAAACCAGGACATCCACCCATCCATTCATTCTGTCAATCAGTCAATCTAGCCCACATTATGTAAGGCTCTATGTCTGCCTTTACCCAGGCAGCCCAATTCAGATCTTTTTTTCACTAATTGGTATTTTGACCAATCAGCTCAGCTCTGAAAGATATCTGATGTGATTGGTCAAAAAATATTAGAATTGGGCTGCCTGTCTGCACACATCCATAGTGACTGAGGATGAGAATGACCATGAGTCATTTGACTTTTTTAGTAAAACAATGTTCTGAAACTAAGGCCTAGATTCAATCAGATCAAGCGTTAACCAGCGAAAGCCGAAACCCGCATAGCTGATGTTTTGCCGATGTCGGAGGTGTAAATGTGTTGGAGCTGTCAAATTGGTGATCAGCTGCTCTTGATCATTGTCACAAAGCCACACCCGTCCCACTCGCGATAGAAGTTCACAACGAGAGAAAGTGTGGGCTATATAGAAATAATGACGCTCAAATTGAAAATCATTCAACTAAATAATGAGGATTTCTATCAGCCTAATCGAGGTCTAGATTACATCTCACATTCCAGTGTTCGAACTTGTAAACAAGGCTGCATGGGATTTCTCGTAATGCAACTTAGTGCAGCCAATGGCAATGTCTGCTTTAGGTATAATGTCAGGAGCCACTTGTGGATTTTACAGCTTTAACACAGTTCCACCTCTGACACCGCCAAAACAACCGCTATGCAGATGTTGGCTAAAGCGGATCTGATTGAATGGAGCCCTAAATGCGTCCGGGTACAGTAACCTGGCTGACCCCTTTCTCTGTAGCTTCAATTTCAGCCTCAGCCTGCATCAAGCTAAGTGCTTGATTCCGGTGTCATCTATGGTCAGTATGGCTTATATATAATGGTTGGGTTCATCATAACCAAACATTTAATCGTCATGTGCTACATGAATCTACTGTAATGTTATTTTATCATATACTATAACAGGACATTGTCTTATGTCGGGCGGTGTCACTCCTATGTGATGCTAGTCCAGCAACCATTAGTGCAGATAAATGTTGCGCTATCTGACGCAAGACAATGGACATTAGAAGGGCTTAAATCTGAGGGTTCTAGAAGGCATGATAAACGTCATGAAGCACAATATACATACTGCCCGCTGTACATGGATTCATATTCTATTCACACTGTCCATAGAAACTTCCAAAAACAAACGGCATACTTTGTATCTTCTTCCAACTCTCTTCCGAGGCATGATACAAACTTGTCAGCTTTGGGTCCAGAGCAATAGGTTGGTTACACTATTTTCTCACCACAGCTAGCTACTGGTCTAAGAGTCAGTATCTGATTTCAGGAAATTAATCATGCTCGTAGTAAATGAATCTAGGAAAGATTCTAGGAAGTCTTGAAAATTAATCCTCCTTGGTGAGAGTAGTCATGAATAAGTAAGGCTTTAATAATCACAGTTAAATAACTACTTTAGTACATTATGTGTGTCTGCACTGCAGGGAAATGAAAGCCTACTAGAACTGAACAACATTAATGAATTAGAGACCAAACACTAAGAGAGAAAATCTCTCTCACTACAAAGTTGAGAGAGGATGGGGGAGGAAGCAGTGGCATCGGATCAGCTCATCAAGGCATCCGTGACAACGTGCGATTCAGAGAAAAACCAAATCCGTCCACGTGATCATCTTCTGGCTTCCTCTTTCGCAAGCAACCAGCCAGAACATACTGTATTCTCAATGAAGGCTGTTAGATGGTGTTGCATAACTGGCCTAGAAAGGAGGAGAAAGCTGGACCTAACTGGTCTAACGCTCACCGCCCGACCCTGCATGGCCAACCCAGTTAGTTCCTCATTAATGCATTCACTAATGGCAGAACTACTCCTACCTACAGTACATGTACAAATTACCCCTACCTACATGTACAAATTACCTCGACTAACCTGTGCCCCCGCACATTGACTCGGTACCAGTACCCCCTGTATATAGCCTCGTTATTGTTATTTTATTGTGTTACTTTTTATTTGATTTTTTACTTTAGTTTATTTAGTAAATATTTTCTTAACTCTATTTCTTGAACTGCATTGTTGGTTAAGGGCTTGTAAGCATTTCACGGTGAGGTCTACACCTGTTGTATTCGGCGCATGTGACAAATAAAATTTGATTTCATTTGATTTGAACTAAGAAAGCAGTATGGCTCATGTATTTATGGGCGCGTATCGCTTGTATTTGCATGAGCACATGGTTGTTTTTGAGTGGCACTGCGTGCTTGAGGATGCAATTACCAATTGATTCTACCCAGAGCTGCAAAGTCACAGGACTTTACTGCTCCTAGGGCTCCAATGAAAAAGTATTTCTAAGTGTACAGACTGTAAGAACTGGAGAACAAAGTCAAGATGTAACATAAAGGTGCTTTATTGTAGTGGAAGTACAGATGTTGTAGAGTCAAGACATACAAAAAGACACAGGGAAGAAAACATTTTTACAAATGTACACATTTATGTACACTACAGTATGTTACAAAAGTAAAACAATGGGAACAATACCAACAATAGCATATTGTTACCCTCTATACCTGCAGATTCAGATTCAGATTATTTACATAGCTTTGCTATAGATAAACTAGAGGAGGATTCTATTTATAAATAGCTTTTCAGGTAAAATAGCGTAATTTTGTACTCTAAACAGTACTACTCAGCAAGTCCAACCTAACAGTTGCACATTTTAATTTGAGTATATTCAAAGTTAAAAAAGTGAAACATAATGTCTGAAAAAGGCCTTCAAACGTAAGACTCCTTGGCGTAAGAAAACTCTTCGAACACAGGCTGGCTGCACCTCCGTGACACATTCTCATGTCGTGAAGCTGTGTCATGGTGTGACACGGTCTCGTGGAGTGCTCTCGACATGGACTCAGACATCGCTCGCTGGCGGAACCCGACCGAATGCCGTTGGGCTGTGGTGACATCATCACCATCTGTCCCCTGAGAGAAGCAGTCTGTGTATTGATTGACGGGACAGGAGTACAGGAAGTTTGCGTTCATAGAGGCTGGGCGGGACTTCCTGCTGAGAGTGGCGGCGACGGCACTGACAGTCATGGAGCCATAATGCGGTGGGGAGGGCTGAGCCGCACTCTGGACTGCCTGCTCGTACGAAGGGGGCTGGGAGGGCAGTCTGCTGTCCACCTGTAGGAAGACCTCCACCGCAGACAGGGGACGCTTCTGCTTGAGAGGGGCCTCGGCCACTGGGGCCTCCACCTCACTCTGGGAGTCTTCCTGGAGGGTGCCGAAAGGGAAAGGCTTCTCCTTCTGGAGGTCACCTTTCTTGAGGCTGCCCCAAGCGAAGCCGAAGGCCCCAAGGCTCTTGGTCCTCAACAGGGCTTTCCTGTCCACATTCATGGACTGGGTGCATCGCTCGACCACTTCCATCGTGCTCGCCCTTGGGGGCTCTGCCCTAGGCTTGGTGGAGAGGGGAGCATGGCGTGTGGACTGGCCCCCGCGTTGGCAGGCCGGGGAGGTCAGCGGCGAGCTGGTAAACAGGGAGACCTCCGATGTGTTGGAGGCGGCGCTCTCCAGGGAGCAGGATGACGGGCATGACGGTTCAAGCTGCCGCCAAGTCATCGTCTGGCTGCCACCGAGTTTGGGGAGGGACAGCGTGGCGGCATGCCTGGTGTCAGCAACACCACACCCTGGGAGCAGGAAGGAGTCATCAGAGATCTGCTTCTTGAGTGGATGCTCCTCAAAGTCCCGCCACTCCACAGAGAAGTCGTCGTGACTACGGGCCAGGCCAATCAGGCTTCTCTTCTCAGCAGAGGGGAAGATGATTGGCTCTGAGCAGCGGCGGTTGAAGAGCTTCTTGTTGGTGAAGGTGTGGAAGATGGCGTTGGAGGGGCAGGAGGGGATAGCGCCGCATTGCATCCCGCACGCAGAGAGGAGAGATGGGGACGAGCCGCCCCTTTCCCCCTCACCCTCTACTTGCGTGGACCCCACGCTGTCCCCCTCAGCGTCTGCGTCTGTGCTGTCATACGCAGAGTCGTGCTGCTGTGATAACACGGAATCTGAGGAGAAAGAGATGGAACATTGATCAGTTGCAGTTTACAATGTATGATTCCTATTCCCATTGTTCTATTTTATTTCAAGCTTTTTGAAACATGTTCCCAGAAATCTGTGTTCACAGAATGTTCTTCTTTTCTGTGAAAGAACGTGTAGCATTGCAGAGAATGGCGCCTAAAGCAGCCCAGTTCACTTACCTGAGTTATCCTCATCGGGATCTCCCAAAAGGCTCAGGACGTCCTCTCCAAAGATCTCACAGCAATGCTCGATCAGGAACTTTGTCAGCTCTGTCACCTAAAGGAAACATCACAAAGAACACAAAAGGTTAACGTTACTTTGAACAATGGTTGAGTGATTGAAAGTAACATTGTTTTAAAGTGTAAAGAATTGGCTTTCCTTTCGATGAACAACTCAGTCCTGTTTCAGCGCAGACTATAGTAGGATAAAGTTATTGCGAAACTATAGGCCTACACACAGACACACAAACACACTGTTGTTTTCCGGACATGAAAACTACACTGGCAGCTTCAAAGAGTCCAGTCAGAACCGGATTCTCACCTTCTTCGCGGTCTGCACATCTAAGGACATGATGTCCTTCTGCAGCAGAGTGGGTGCAATGCACAATGCCAAGTTATTGGCGTCCATCTTGTTGGTATCCGCGCTCTTCGTGATGTGGTGGAGCACACACAGAATGTTCCTCAGCAGGAGGATGTTAGGTCCTGGTAGCTTGACTACCACCCTGAGAGAGGAAAGGGAAGGAAGGAGAGAAAGAACAGGGAAAAAATGTAGATCAGTTTGCCGCTCGTTACATTTTTTTGTAGCTTCTCTTTTTGAGAGGGGGAGGAAACTAAAAAAGAAGCGTACACATTGAGGGTAGAGGCACAACTTCCTCATTGTCTGACTCTCTGAAAAACTCAATTGAAAAGCCCCCTGAATCTGTTCTTTGCAACACCTAAACATCAATAGAAAAGTTGAGTTTTTTTTTGTTTTCAACCAAACGCCTACATTAGTCTCACATTAGCATAACGTTTACGGCTACGGCCTCTCATGTAGCCTACAGTTTTATATAAGATTATGCCCCACAAGTACTACAGTAAAATAGTTCACAAATGCGGGTGACTCAACAGGTGGTACAGTTGCTAACGCTACATTTAGCCTAGCGTAAGCTCGCTAGTGGCTGGTAGCTTACCTTTTGAGCTCTAAGCTTCTGTGGTGGATGACCTTAGTCTCCAGGGCCTTCATCCAGGTCTCATACATCTCCGACACTAACAGGCTGCCCGGGAGCTCCGTCAGAAAACTCTGCAATTAGTAGGGAAGGTGTCGAGGGTTAGAACACAATATAGTGTAGGACTGCTGATAGGTAGCGAGAGGTACTAACGCGCTAAAAATAAGAGGTCTAATTGGAGGTCATAGAGCTCCTTCTCCCTGCTCCGGGTGGATGGCAGATGGACGAATAGAGAAAAGGAAAGGACAAATGAGTGAACAGATGGATGATTCTTTACCTTGAGTAGTCCCACCAGGAGAACCACGGGCAAGGCCTCCATCTCCACCTCCGTCCCACTGTCGAGCTGCTCCCTGATGGCCTTCAGGTTCTTATTGTTGCCGTTCTTCCTGAACACACCCTCTGTGGAGGGGCCTTTCTTCCACAGCAGCACCAATATATCCTGGTGGGGAGAGAGAGGAACAAGGGAGGAAAAGAGGTCAAACCAGGCTGAGAAAATGCATGAACAAGTCAAACACCCTGCTGTGTGTGCGCACGCGCGCACGTGTGTGTGCGTGGATGCGTGTGTGTGTGTATGTGCTTAAATGTGAGTGATTCTGTGAGGGGGAGGCCAGGGGCAGATTGAGACAGACAGTTGGTGCATTGTGCATGTCAGCTGGAAGTGGAACATCACATAGATTAAATCTGTAGTTGGGTTGCAGACAGGCAGGTCCTTAGCAACCATTACCAAGTGCTTTGGTAACTAAGTACACTTATTAGTGACAATTAAATGGCCTGATTGATCAAGTGCCCTAGTCAATAAACCCTTTGAACTAAACACCTTGGTAGAATGAGGTGCAGATCAAATCAATAGCTGTCACTACGATTCATTACGGCAGTTCGGTTCATGAAATGATAAGAGTAATGCTATGTCACACAGCCAATCTATTCTTTCTCACTCAATGCCCGCAGCCCCACACCTTGTACAAATGATGAAAATCTGACATTCAAAGATATTACAGAATAAAGATATTACAGAACAAAGATATTACAGAACAAAGATATTACAGAACAAAGATAGTTTTGGTACAGTGACGTACTGTGATAGGCTTTGGAAGAGTCCCATCCTCCGGGCAGGTCTTGGAGAGAGGCTGTCCAAACAGATGGCTCTTGGAGTCTGTGTCTGGATGGGAGGATATGCTGGTGAGGGTGGAGCTTATCCTCAACTTCCTCAAGATGCTCCACTTACTGTTGCTACCATTTTCTGTAACGAAAGAAGCCAAACGTTTAGCCAATTTGTGTAGGTATAGTATACAGTATTATAAAGGCGGTATTAAGGGTTAAAGTATACCAATACCATTCATGAGAAAGAGAGTGAGTGTGAGAGAGATTAGCATATGATATAAATTGATGTTCTTGTTTTAGATTGACATTCACACTAATCATTGGTGTGTCCTGTTTGAATCATTTCATGCTGCCTCTTTTTTTCTCTGCCTAAGTTGGCACACACACATATACACACACACATACACACTGTGGGCCCTTAACCAACCTTGTGGTTCAGAGATGTTGTTTTTCAAACTCACCAATGGGCTGTGTTACACATCTGGGCAGGGTGAGGAGCTTTGCGTCGCTCTGGAAACGCAAAACAGGAGATGTAGTCATGAGCATGTAGGAGGAACATGTGACAGGGGAGGGAGGGGAGGGGAGGTGCCCCCAACACCCTAAACCACAGCCTCTGTTTTCATTCCTGTTTCAATGTGAGGGTTCAGGGTGGTAATAGTCTAACCCGCCAACTCTCCCTCCTCAAACTCCCCAATCACCCAAACAATTTACCCCTCAATAACACCCATCATAAAAGCCCACCACTTTCAAACCACTGTCCCCTCAAGAACAACACAAGGTCCTCCATTTGAACGAAACAACACAAACCCTCCTTTAAAAAAGCATCATCACTGTACAGTATCAATCAAGTGTTACAATGTATACACTTGTGTTACATAAGTGCTTCTATTTGAGCAACAGATTGCAGCAGTCCGAATTCCCCCATTAACCCTCAAAATAAGCCTCATATAACCTCACACAAGGTGTTTCTCCCCAACACATGTTGAACCAGAACAATTGACACATGGATGAAAGAAGCAGAAGCAGGAAGTGTACTGTACGGTACTCACATCAAGCGAAAACTCGATAGAAGGCTCCATGCCACCTCCTGTTAGAGTTTTAGCCTGAAACAGAGAGCGAGAGAGAGAGATTATTATCTATAGTGCAGATGAAAGTTCTTGAAGATAAAAGGTGACTCCTTCCAGAAGCAATTATATTATATATTAGGCAATGTATGCTCATTCTAATTCTATAAGTACAATTTGAATGGTGTCAAACAAAAGCCTATTATGCCTGAATGGCCAAAGATCATGTTTTGACAAAGTGCTGCAAAGTGTGTCTGCATTGAGCGCCTTTCTATGAATGTCCGATGCTCTGTCCTTATTGATAACGGCCCTTTATAGAGGTAATATGTCTCTTCAGAGCCAGAAGACCCATCAACATGAGAGCAAGAGATATAATGCGAGTCAATGCTCTAAATTGGCTGTATATGGTGCAATACAATGGTATCTTGATATCCAATGACTGGCTGGACACAGGTGAAAGTATAACCATCTTTTCTACAGTATCTGCCATCACCGCATTTGGTAACAAGAATCTGGGTGAGGTATCAGGGATTATGACTATAGTCTACAAAGTATGCACTATGGTTATAAAGGTCACAGCTTTTCTGATAGCTGTTTCTGTACATTTAGCACAACACTGGAGAGTAGGCTAAATCTGCATCCCAAATGGCATTCTGTTCCCTATAGTGCACTACTTTCAACAAGCGCCCTATGGGCCCCAGTCAAAAGTAGTGCACTGTATGGGGAAATAGATTGCCATTTAGGACGGGCCCTAAGCGATAGACTTACTGTGATACTGCCGCTCAGCACCTTCATCAGGACACTTGGGGGTGGTGTGGTAGAACCTGCTCTCTCTTTTGCTACTTTAATTTTCCTGGAATGAGGAAAACACATACATAAAATATATACAGTATGCGTATATACAAATATTTCACTGATCTCCAGTCAGTCCCTAGTTATTCTCGCGAGCCATAGTCAAGATTGACTACTCCCTAGTTAGATGGATGTCGTTGTACATGTGGTCTCTACACAACCACTCTCTGTATGTGTCAAAAGGGTGTGTTTGTGTGTATGTGTGTGTGTGTGTGTGTATGTGTGTGTGTGTTGTGGGGTGTGTCAAGTTTTAAATGAGGATCAGATGGATATTCTGAATATGATCAAATCTTAATTTGAATATGAGTGAAAATAATGCTAACCATTAACAATTGCATGACAGAAAAAAATATTTGAACTATATACTATATTGAACTATAAGTTCTGACATCATGAAGAATATTGTAATACTCACTAAATACAGTTCCTATCTCCATCACAGGTATGCTTATACTACCTTTTAAAACTAATTCTGTTCATAACCCTTCAATAATTATATTATATCTAATTGAATGACATTAACAGTACAGTCCCCTTGATACTGCAAGTTATTAACATACTGACTATCTTCATACAGTATAACCCAGTAACCCAGCTTACCCTTTATGGCTCAATCAAGTGGCATTTATATTATGTATGAGTTCATAGTAGTGCTTACCTGTGAAGAGTATCCAACCAGCGTTCTTTCACCTCAGGCGAGCTGCAGGCAAAACAACAGCACGGGAGTTACTAATCCACAGTGAAAGAGGAACGAACCAAACGCACGGATGGACAGACAGACTGACTAAAGAGACACAGCACACCCTCTGGCTCTTTTAACTGGAGCGATGGAAACTCTAACTCAGTCATGGGGACAGGAAGCAGCGTCATGGCGGCCCCGACCAAAACACCTTCCACTTCCTCTATGTGTTGCGGCTGCTGCTGTTGTCGCCATGTGGAAAGAGACATGAGGGAGACTCTAACTTAAACGAAACCTCACTCACCTGTATAGATGATAGTAATAATTGAGTGAGGACTTTAAAAGTGCATCTGTTTTCATGTATTTTCTTTCATCTTTGGTTGAGCCTACATTAGACCGATACTTTTTGATTATAGACACTATACCAATAGACCAGCTCATATACTGTTTGTGCTTACTGGTAAACTGTAGGCCAATAAACTGGTGAGCCACAGACTCTAAGAATGACTCTAAAGTCCATGAGTCCATGACTCAGACCCCAATAACATGACTAAATAATCCATATCCACACCAAATGAGGGATAGCTATTATTACTGATCAAAACAGAAAATCCCCTTTCAAATGTTTTATTCAATGTTGTGTCTATTTGTGACCATGCAATTTCAACACTCCCTCTATATTTCAAAGATCCAGTCGTCCTGATAAAGGCTAGTGCTGTAAAGGCCCTGACATGTGATCTGAGGCCTGATGGTTAGCTTCAACACTTCCTATTTCACCAGCCATTGTCTTGTGATGGTGTAGACTGTTCTCATTTCCCTATTTCATTCATGGCCTTATGGAAACCATCTCTTAAAGGTCCAATGCAGCCATTTTATCTCAATATTAAATCATTTCTGGGTAACAGTAAAGTACCTTAAAATGGTCAAAAAGAAACAACAATAGCTTCTTGGCAAAGGGCAATTTTGCTAGGACTGTCTGGGAGTGGTCTGAATGGGGAGGGGAAAAATGAAGATTTGCTGTTATTGGCAGAGAGGTTTGGAACTCTCTTTCTTATTGGTCTATTAACTAATTTACCACATGGTGATGTCACCATTGAAGGCCAAAACTCCATCCCACCAAAACAGGCTGAAATTTCAGGCGGTCCTTTCAAACAGCTCTTACACGAAAAGGGCATTATCATGATTTTCACAAATTCACAATAATATTCCAACCTCATAGTGTGTCAATATATATAAAACACAGGAAAATCACGTTTTTGTCTACACTGGGCCTTTAAGAAACTCAATATATTTTTAGGTCAATCCTAGGATACTACTGTCTTTAGTTTGTACATACAGTATATATCTCAGGACAACCAAATGGGTCAAACTTTACTTGAAGGAACTGTTCATATGAATCATGAATTTGAATTATGAATGTTAGAGTTAGGTTGACTCCATTATCCTCCCACTGTAATAGTTTTACTCTGAAATGCCAGTAAGCTGGACTTCCTGCTCAGTAGTGGCTAACCGTGTAGTTTTCTAACCTTTAACCTTTGGATGTTCAGAGAATAACATTTACATTTACATTTACGTCATTTAGCAGACGCTCTTATCCAGAGCGACTTACAGTTAGTGAGTGCATACATTTATTTTTATTTTTTTTATACTGGCCCCCCGTGGGAAACGAACCCACAACCCTGGCGTTGCAAACGCCATGCTCTACCAACTGAGCTACACCCCTGCCGGCCATTCCCTCCCCTACCCTGGACGACGCTGGGCCAATTGTGCGCCGCCCCATGGGTCTCCCGGTCGCGGCCGGTTACGACAGAGCCTGGATTCGAACCAAGATCTCTAGTGGCACAGCTAGCACTGCAATGCAGTGCCTTAGACCACTGCGCCACTCGTAATGTCAGTAGTGAGAAAACAAAGAGAAACTTGACTTGTTATTTGTTGTCTACGTCGAGAATGATGAGTGAGAGATGTCTCTCATTGAGTTAAAATAAACTTGTTTCCATCTGTGTGAGTGTGTGCCTGCGTGTGTGTGTGGCCAGGTGTACACCTGCCTGCCTGAGTGTCTGCCTGCCTGCGCGTCTGTGTGTGTGTGTGCACATGTATGAGTTTGCACTCATGTATGCACACAGAGGATGACTGTTGCTCACTGGAAGGACACCACACAGAAGGCAAGGGGCCAGGCCAAGACGAGGGACGTCCTGAGGTCAATCTCTCCCCCTCCTCCCTCTTCCTCCTCGGGCTCATCCTCAAAGCCATAAAGCCACAGATCTTCCAGACTCACCCTGTGCTTCAGACGGTAGCTAGCACTGGACCTAAATGAGAGAGAGAGAGAGCGAGAGAGAGAGGGGAGAAGGGAGAGAGAGAGAGAGAGAGAGAGAGAGAGAGAGAGAGAGAGAGAGAGAGAGAGAGAGAGAGAGAGGGAGAGAGAGAGAGAGAGAGAGAGAGAGAGAGAGAGAGAGAGAGAGAGATGATTATGTGGTCATGGATGGTATATGAGGGCTAGCAGGTTGAGGATTTAGAGAGTCAGTTTATGTTTTCATCAGGACTGGCTAGGACTGTATCTCAGCTCATCAGGCCTAGAATACTGCATGATCCACTTCTCTATCCCAATGGTTGCTAAAGGTGCTAATGTATTCCTCATTATTGTCATCTATTTCTAAATCAGTGATTAATTGCTTATCACTCAGAAACAGGAAGTGATCTGATTTCTATCTCTTTAGGATGCATTGTGTTCCATGGTCAGCTTCCTGTGTCTGTCTGCCTGTCTGTCAGCTTGTGAGGAGGAAGGCACTCTCTCAAGGCCTAGTTCACAACTTTTGGTTTGCTACAATATTGAAACTGTCACCTTGTCGCGCGTGGATCCACAGACCCATGCACTTACTGTAGGCCTTGTCATGGGAACGTGATTGTGTAAAGAATCAACTGTATTGAGGATCTGTCTTGAGTCACAAGTGTGCTGTCAGAACAGCCTCAATTTGTCGGGCATGGACTCTACAAGGTGTCGAACGCGCTCCACAGGGATGCTGGCCCATGTTGACTCCAATGCTTTCCACAGTTGTATCAAGTTGGCTGGATGTTCTTTGGGTGGTGGACCATTCTTGATACACACGGGAAACTGTTGAGCGTGAAAAACCCGGCAGCGTTGCAGTTCTTGACACAAACCAGTGCACCTGGCACCCTATTCCCTTCATGTGAGCTGGGCTATATAGAATACCATTTGGAACACAGAATCAATGGAGGGTGGGAAGGAGGGAGAGAGTGATGGGATAGAAAGAGAGAGTGAAGGACTTTGGGGAGAGGAAATGGAGCTTGCGTAAGTGTACCGGTGAGTGAATGATCATGGGTATTAGGTTAATGAGGAAAGGCACGGCAGTCCATGAACTAGTGTTTACACAATCGGCAATCCATGAACAAGTGTTTACACAATCGGCCTAAGGTGTTATTCAGAACAAGAGAACTGCATTAGTCACAAATGTATTTAGCCACTCGTGGCGCCTCTGCTGGAAAAGTGTGAGCAAAAGTACAGGAAAAAAACCTGCCTACACTCAATAGACCAGAGCGATTGATTAAACTCCCACTTAAGACCAGAAGATTGCTTCCACTGTCTTCTTTGAAACAGAGACGATTCAGAATATGTTATCTTAGTTAGCGTCACGTTTTACATTAGCTGAATCTACATTTAGATCAGACTAATCTACTTTCATACTGTACTGTTTAACCTACAAGCTTCCTGCTGTCAGTATCTTATAATAAGAAAACAAAAAACTCTCTGACTTAAATGTGCACTATCTATTTAAAAAAGAACTGCAGTGGGATAAAACGTCAGTGGTAAAGATTTCAATCTATAGGTATATCGGTGTGTCTTTCCATGTGAGTGTACATTTCTATAATGATAGGTTGTCATTGGGGAGTTAATCAGTTCCGTTCTATGAAGGCAAAACTCGGAAACTCAGACAATCTACAGTGGGGAAAAAAAGTATTTAGTCAGCCACCAATTGTGCATGTTCTCCCACTTAAAAAGATGAGAGAGGCCTGTAATTTTCATCATAGGTACACGTCAACTATGACAGACAAATTGAGAAAAAAAATCCAGAGAATCACATTGTAGGATTTTTTATGAATTTATTTGCAAATTATGGTGGAAAATAAGTATTTGGTCAATAACAAAAGTTTCTCAACACTTTGTTATATACCCTTTGTTGGCAATGACACAGGTCAAACGTTTTCTGTAAGTCTTCACAAGGTTTTCACACACTGTTGCTGGTATTTTGGCCCATTCCTCCATGCAGATCTCCTCTAGAGCAGTGATGTTTTGGGGCTGTCGCTGGGCAACACAGACTTTCAACTCCCTCCAAAGATTTTCTATGGGGTTGAGAACTGGAGACTGGCTAGGCCACTCCAGGACCTTGAAATGCTTCTTACGAAGCCACTCCTTCGTTGCCCGGGTGGTGTGTTTGGGATCATTGTCATGCTGAAAGACCCAGCCACGTTTCATCTTCAATGCCCTTGCTGATGGAAGGAGGTTTTCACTCAAAATCTCACGATACATGGCCCCATTCATTCTTTCCTTTACACGGATCAGTCGTCCTGGTCCCTTTGCAGAAAAACAGCCCCAAAGCATGATGTTTCCACCCCCATGCTTCACAGTAGGTATGGTGTTCTTTGGATGCAACTCAGCATTCTTTGTCCTCCAAACACGACGAGTTGAGTTTTTACCAAAAAGTTCTATTTTGGTTTCATCTGACCATATGACATTCTCCCAATCCTCTTCTGGATCATCCAAATGCACTCTAGCAAACTTCAGACGGGCCTGGACATGTACTGGCTTAAGCAGGGGGACACGTCTGGCACTGCAGGATTTGAGTCCCTGGCGGCGTAGTGTGTTACTGATGGTAGGCTTTGTTACTTTGGTCCCAGCTCTCTGCAGGTCATTCACTAGGTCCCCCCGTGTGGTTCTGGGATTTTTGCTCACCGTTCTTGTGATCATTTTGACCCCACGGGGTGAGAACTTGCGTGGTGCCCCAGATCGAGGGAGATTATCAGTGGTCTTGTATGTCTTCCATTTCCTAATAATTGCTCCCACAGTTGATTTCTTCAAACCAAGCTGCTTACCTATTGCAGATTCAGTCTTCCGAGCCTGGTGCAGGTCTACAATTTTGTTTCTGGTGTCCTTTGACAGCTCTTTGGTCTTGGCCATAGTGGAGTTTGGAGTGTGACTGTTTGAGCTTGTGGACAAGTGTCTTTTATACTGATAACAAGTTCAAACAGGTGCCATTAATACAGGTAACGAGTGGAGGACAGAGGAGCCTCTTAAAGAAGAAGTTACAGGTCTGTGAGAGCCAGAAATCTTGCTTGTTTGTAGGTGACCAAATACTTATTTTCCACCATAATTTGCAAATAAATTCATTAAAAATCTTACAATGTGATTTTCTGGATTTTATTTTCTCAATTTGTCTGTCATAGTTGACGTGTACCTATGATGAAAATTACAGGCCTCTCTCATCTTTTTAAGTGGGAGAACTTGCACAATTGGTGGCTGACTAAAAACTTTTTTTCCCCACTGTATGTGGCGTGTGTGTGGGTGTTTTTGTGAGTTGCTATGCAGGCTGTATGCATATGTGTTGGTGTGTGTGCTTATTATGTTCCATATCTTACTTGAGCTTGGCGATAACGATCACGTCGCTGAAGAGGAAGAGTTGTCTCCTTCTGGTCTTCATGCCTTCTGTGACCTGAACACAGGTGTCCAGGACCAGCTCTGCATTCTCACTGCTAAGACCCAGGACGAAAGGGCACTGCTCCACCGACACCCAGCATGGAGCCTCCTCCCTAGGGTAGAGAGGGCAGAGAGAGTGGGGGTCAGAACTAAGGAGGAACTATGTTTGTGTGCATGCTTGGGTGCATGTGTGGGTGGACTTAACTGAGGGTCGGTTTTCATTTTTGCCAGATGACCACATCGAATCATTTGTTTGTCATCAGAACTTCATAATCTTTTCATCAAAGAATGGGGTTATTTCAGTGAAGCCTTCATTTTGAATAAGAAGGTCAGTTATTTCAACACACAGGGCCTACTCTACCAGCAGATCAATGCTACCCAAGCTTTCTATTATTATTTTGTATTTATTTAGACTAACAGTATTTCTATGCTTTCTTTAGACTAGTAGATGGGGAGGAAAGGAGGATGCAGGGATTGAACCCCGATCTCCGGTGGGGAGGCATGAATGTGACAGCACTGGGTGTTTGACCACTTCTAGACCATGGCCTTTGCACAGCTTTTCATTATTGAGAGGTTGTTGTGATGTATACCGGACATTGTATCACATATTTTTCCAGTGGACAAAACTGGTTATTATGACAATTTCAACCAGATTTGCCCAGTTTTGTCCATTTGGTTGTTTTAGGGGCAGCAACAGATGAAATTCTCATGTATGGTAACTTATAGAGAGAACAAATGTAAAAATATGCACATCCGCATCCAACAGGACAGAAGAACTTATCAAATAAAATGTCTGCAAATCTGGCATGCTCCTATAGTGATTTAATTAGACACACAAAAAATACAATGTTTCGGGCTAACCTGACAAAGATCCAACTTGGATCGAAACGTTGTCTTTCTTGTGTGTCTTATTCAATCACCACGGGAGCATGCCAGAGTTGCAGACTGATTTTTTCTTGAACTTATAGAAACAGAATGAGAGGAGCCTGTATGCAAAACGTAGAGCAAATACATATTGAGCAAATGCAATTATCTTCAAATTGGCTTCCAGCCAGTTGCTATGACTCTCACAAGGGCATGATGTATCTATAAAAAGGATATAAAGTGAATTTAAGGTGAAATGGTATGACGTGTGGCTTTGAATGACAGTTTTCACATGAAAGTTTGTTCTTTTATTTCATACTACACATCAGATGAGGTTAGAACTCTTTCTCTCTCTCTCTCCCCCCCCCCCACTCTCTCTCTTTCGCTCTCTCTCTCTCTCACCTCCCTCATACTCAAACACCCTCACTCTTCTCAGTTTCCCTCTGACCTTTTTTTAGGCCTTTATCTTGCCTCCCACAATCGTGATTAACAATACAGATGATGTTGCTTGCTTGTTTGTAACTCACGGAACGCAAGCAGCAATGAACATATTCTACAATGTTGCTAATCTTCTTAAGAGACCCCCAAAAATGTCTCACTCAATACATAATATTTCACACTATAAACAGAAACATTCAGCGTCATGTCACAGTGTCATTCCCACGCTTTGTGCATTTGTGGAGTCAAACCTATAAGTTAGGGCTGTTTAAGCCCTAACTTCTATTATTTATCTTTTAGAAACATGAAGTAAATAGCATTAGAGAAATGGTTTTGAGAATTCACATTGTATTCTATGTGGAACTTACCTGTCTTCATTTGACATATGTCCCTCTTTCAATGTGTGTGTTTTGGACAGATATTCAAATCGATATCACAGAGGGACTCCTACGTTACACTCTTTGACCTACTTGGCCTAACCACTAAACACAGTGCCTACACGACTTCACTACTTAGCATACCTCAACATTATCAGTAGAGTATAGGCTTAAAGATCATACGACCATCTCTAAGATGTTCAACGTCAAAGACGCTTGGCCCACCCACTGTAGTGAAACTAGCACCCTCCGCCCCCTCACTGCAGCTCAGGGTTCACTTGCTTGTTGTGTGTTGAACGGGTGTGAGTGTGAGGGTGTGACGTCTCTGATGGAAGTTAGGTTGTCTGGTTGGAGTGGACTCCCCCACCTGTCTGTTTGTAACTGTGGTGGTCTGGGTGTGAACTACTGTTGGGGCTGATCAAAGACTGGAATAGAAATCTGACACATCATTCACTCGTATGGAAAATTCCATAAATTAATCCACGTGATGAAACCATATTGTCATGTTCGTTGTGTAAAGGATCGGACCAAGGTGCAGCGTGGTGTGCGTACATAGTCGTTTATTTTAATAAACACCGACAAAATAACAAAATCCAACAGAACGTGAAGTTCAAGAGGCTAAACATCAAACAAGCCAAACAGAAACAAGATCCCACAACTAAGGTAGGTAACATGGCTGCCTAAGTATGATCCCCAATCAGAGACAACGACCGACAGCCTCTGATTGGGAACCACACCCGGCCAACATAGAAATATATAAATTAGATTTCACACCCTGACCAACCCAACTAGCGATCTCAATGTCAGGGCGTGACAGGAGTGGATCAGCTGACCGGAGCTGACAGGAGTGGATCAGCTGACCGGAGCTGGAGACTCTGGACTGCAGACCGTTGCTGGAGGCTCTGGACTGTAGACCGTCGCAGGAGGCTCCGGGCCATGGACCATCACTGGAGTCTTCGTGCCATGGATCATCACAGGAGGCTTCATGCCATAGATCATCACTGGAGGCTTCGTGCCATAGATCATCACTGGAGGCTTCGTGCCATGGATCATCACTGGAGGCTTCGGGCCATGGATCATCACTGGAGGCTTCGTGACATGGATCATCACTGGAGGCTTCGTGCCAGTGCGGGGCGCTGGCACAGGACGCACTGGGCTGTGGACACGCACCACTGGTTTGGTGCGAGGAGCAGGTACGGGCCGTACCGGACTGGAGACATGCACCACTGGTTTGGTGCGAGGAGCAGATACGGGGCGCACTGGGCTGGAGACACGCACCACTGGTTTGGTACGAGGAGCAGGCACGGGCCGTACCAGGCTGGGGACACGCACCACTGGTTTGGTGCGAGGAGCAGGTACGGGCCATACCGGACTGGAGACACGCACCACTGGTTTGGTGCAAGGAGCAGGTACGGGGTGCACCGGGCTGGAGACACACACCACTGGTTTGGTGCGAGGAGCAGGTACGGGCCATACCGGACTGGAGACACGCACCACTGGTTTGGTGCAAGGAGCAGGTACGGGGTGCACCGGGCTGGAGACACACACCACTGGTTTAGTGCGAGGCGCAAGCACAGGCCGTAGCGGTCTGTGAAGGCGCACTGGCGGCACAGTGCGTAAAGCCGGCGCATAGCCTGGTGCCTGCACGGTCACACGCTCCTCAAAGCGAGTGCGGGGAGTTGGCTCTGCTAAACCTGGCTCTGCCAGCCTCTGCTCTAAGGACCGGGCTCTCTGCTGCTGGAGGGTTAACCCCTTCTCAGCTCCTCCTGTTGCCTGGCCAGCTCCTCTCTCCGTGCATCCACTGACTCCTTCCCCCTGTGGGCCTCCTGCAGTGCCTCCTTCTGAAGGGAGAGCTCCTGCTCCCTCTTAACTAACAGCTCCCGTAAGGCGGTGGTCTCCTCTCTCAGAGTACTGAGCTGCAGGTCTTGGAGGGCATCTATCATAGCGGCTTCTTCTATCGCTATCTCCCTCTCCACAATCAGCCCTTCCAGGGCCTCCTGCTGCTCTGCCAACCACCCCGTGCCTCTCGGGCTTCCTTCGTAATCGGGACCTTTCGATTCTCAGTTTTTTCTCTCCTACCTGGGCTTCTTCCTTCGCCCAGGGTCCCTTACCGGCCAATATCTCCTCCCATGTCCAAATTGTTTTCCCCACCTGTGTCCAGCATGTCTGCTCCTCCTGGCCACACTGCTTGGTCCGTTGGTGGTGGGATCTTCTGTCATGTTCGTTGTGTAAAGGATCAGACCAAGGTGCAGCGTGGTATGCGTACATAGTCATTTATTTTAATAAACACCGACAAAATAACAAAATCTAACAGAACGTGAAGTTCAAGAGGCTAAACATCAAACAAGCCAAACAGAAACAAGATCCCACAACTAAGGTAGGCAACATGGCTGCCTAAGTATGATCCCCAATCAGAGACAACGACCGACAGCTGCCTCTGATTGGGAACCACACCCGGCCAACATAGAAATATATACATTTGATTTCACACCCTGACCAACCCAACTAGAGATCTCAATGTCAGGGTGTGACACATATAAATCTTCATAACACTATACTTTATGAAAGGGTTTATAAGTATTTTATAAACTGTTCATTTTTAGTTTATAAATAGTTTTTAAAAACACTTGTAATAGTACATTGGTTGATTTGCAATTTTGATGGGTTCCTGATACAGTATCACTTGAGATGGTATAGATGGGTAGTGTCAGTGGTGTAAAGTACTTAAGTAAAAATAGTTTGAAGTACTACCTAAGTCGTTGTTTGGGGTATCTGTACTTTACTTTTTATATTTTTAACAACTTTTTATTTTACTTCACTACATTCCTAAAGAAAATAATGTACTTTTTACCCCATACATTTTCCCTTACACCCAAAAGTACTCGTTACATTTTTGAATGCTTAGCAGGACAGGAAAATGGGCCAATTCATACACTTATCAAGAGAACATCCCTGATCATCCCTACTGCCGCTGTTCAGGCTGAATCACTTAACACACATGCTTCGTTTGTAAAAGAAGTCTGGTTGTTGGAGTGTTTCTTCTGGCTATCTGTAAATAAAATAAAACATAAAATAGTGCCGTCTGGTTTACTTAATATAAGGAATTTGAAATCATTTATTATTTTACTTTTGATACTTAAGTATATTTTAAACCAAATACTTTTAGACTTTTACTCAAGTAACAGTTTACTGGGTGACTTTTACTTTTACTTGAGTCATTTTCTGTTAAGTTATCTTTACTTTTACTCAAGTATGACAATTGGGTACTTTTTCCACCACTTGGTAGTGTATTATATATGAGAAGAAATAGATGGGTAGAGTTCTCAGCAATCAGTTGTCACTAGTACCTTATGAATGTGAGCCACATTAGATCAACCTTATTTGGATGGCTTTTACTAGTAATACCTTGAAACACAGGCTGGGAAGATCACTTTATGTTTGAAGACTGAACTTGAATATGTAGTGTGATGGACAGTCAGTTATTGCTGGGGTTATTAGATTCCTCCTCTCTGTCCTTCTGGTATTTCATATGGTTCATTAAAACACATAAAACAAATAAAGTAAATATCACGTTTTTATCTTCGCCAGTCCTCAACCCCACACTTGTTTGTTTGTTTTCTGGTTTCAATTTCCATCCCCACTCCTCTGTCTATGTGTCCTCGGAGTCACCCTAGTCTTGAACATTGGGGGTGATGAGGGAGTTCTGAGTGGGTTTAGACAACGGTTGCCAGATCTTGTAGAAAACCCCCTTTCATGACATCTGGTCCACAGTTACCATAGAGAGTGGGCATTGCAGCCCCCTTTACGCCGACTGAGGTGTCATTGTGAGTCATAGTGACACCATTCAACTAGTGGTCACAGCAGGGGGGGAAGGCTGATCTTACATTTGTTTGTATGTCATGTACTGTATGTATGAAAGGCTGTGAAATGTTGTGAAGAGTTGCAGATGAGAAATTGCAATATAATTACAACAACAAAAATAATGTGTTCTTGTGTAAAGTACATGTCTCTTTGAATTATGCTTTGGGCTTTTTTGCTTCTGAAGAAATAGTTAGACGGTATTGAATATTAAATAAGCAACAAGAAATTCCACATGTAAATGAGGGTGATTTAGTTCAGAAATGCATATTTACATTTTTAGTCATTTAGCAGACACTCTTATCCAGAGCAATTAGGGTTAAGTGCCTTGCTCAAGGGCACATCGACAGATTTTTCACCTAGTCGGCTCGGGGATTAGAACCAGCGACCTTTCGGTTACTGGCACAACACTCTTACCCACTAAGCTACCTGCCGCCCTAGTGATAAAACTTATACAAAAAGATAAAGAACTGTAAACAAAAAAAATTATGTCTATAGATTGAACGTTTGAAACACCTTTCTATCCTATTTCTGTGCATTGA